TCATTGTCTTAGGTAAATAGTCATTTTGACTTTTCGTCTCAAATTTGAATGTATTTCAGGACAATGAGCCTAACTAATCCTGAGTCTCAGTATTGGCGAGTACGTTCTTGTCTCGAACGAATCCACTTTCCTGTACGTTTTTGGGCTGGTGATAATTACCTTTCCATCAATGGTCCTATTTCAGAGTCTATATATATCAAATTGTGGCAAGAGCATCTCACATTCTCACATTATGGAAGTAACTTCTCGAGCTCTTCCTAATACCATAAGATTCGTTGGTTTACTTGGTAGTCATGCTTTAGGTAGCAATCCAAAGTTCATGGCTACATCGGTTGATCTAGGACGAGAATTGGTAAGGCGAAAAATCAGGCTTACCTACGGAGGAGGCAATGTTGGCCTTCAAGGAGCTGTAGCTTCAACAGTCTATAACAATGGTGGTAGAGTTAGAGGTTTCATACCAGGGTATATAGCGACACGAGGGGTCTATGGACCAACATATGGTGCAGAGTACACCGTCTCTAGCAATTACTATAAGTATTTCGAGATGAATCATATTGTGGAAGCCTTCATTGTACTTCCTGGAGGAATTGACACTATGGAAGGTTTATTCACTTTGATCTCATGGGCATCCGAAGGGTTACACAGTAAACCCATTGGTCTTTTGAACATTGACGGTTATTTCAATAACCAAATCAAGTTTCTAGATGATGCGGTGAGGCAGAACTTCATGGCTTTGAATCAGAGGAAACTATTCATTTCTTCTTTCTTTGTTGATGAGCTTTTGGACAAGCTAGAGTTGGCTAAGTCATTCCCAGGTGCTAGTTATGACGAGTTTACAAATCCTGGAAGGTTAGACTTAGAGTTACATCTATAATATTTCCAAGTTGAAATAATATTTTCCATGTACATTATGTATCAGTTATAAATATCGGTCTAAGCTGCATGACCAGTGCATTTCAGAAGAGTATTTATTTCGAACATCAAAATGTATCATGTAAATATTAATCCTTTTCTTTGTCTTCTAGTCTTTCACTGTTGGTGTGACTGTTTCACATCTTGTTTTGTACTGTCATCTTGTTGCGACTTTTTGCGTTAATAGGGTATACGAACGAGTCAATTATCCTAATGTTTGTATATAGATTCACCCCTATAATGTGTTTCAGATTCGATACATATGTCGTATTCGATTTGGTTTGTGAGGCTCTATTCTTGTTTTTAGAAAACGATAGGTTCATTCTTGGGGAATTTATTCACTTCCTATTTGAGAATGTTCTTTCTTTGACGTATTCTTCGGGTTGAGAGAAGTGGATTCACATTATTCTCCTAGCCATTTGCGTACTATGATATACATATATGTCGCGCTTATCGGGTTTACAGTCCCTTTTCTTGATCTACTGATGTCGTCTGTGATCCTCGAAGAACATTTCGAGGCAATCTAAACATTATTGCAATCGAGTCTATGAGGATACTAGCAACTCAAAGGAAGCAAGTTTTCAATGAGTTAAGTACGTGTGTTATGTCACAATAACTTACTTGTTGATTACTTTCCCGGGGCAGAGATGTCGCGGAGGATGCGGATGCAGGACTTTGAAAATACTGACTTAATGATCCGAAAATCGTTTTGCTCTGATACCAAAATGTAACACCCCAATCCGTATAACCCGGAATTATACGAATTATGGTGAAACAAGAGTTAAATAAAAATTTCACTTGACATTTGAAAATGACAATTACTTATAAATATTAAATTTACAGACTCTGGATCGCGACCCATTTAAAAATATTTTTAGAGCAATGCGGAAGTACAATAATAACCAAATCATGACATATTTTAAAATATGTTGATCAAACATTTGCCTGCTATCCTTGCATCTCCTCTGACTCAATGCCCTCCGGGAATGGTTCCATCATTGTCTTCTTGTTACCTACGTGTAGTCAACGAAAAAAAATACAAACTACACGCTCAGCGAAACCGCTGAGTGGTACCACGCTAGAATTTGTAGAATGATTCACAGACGTATACATATACATATATATACGTCCACAAATGTATAATAATATTCATGATATGGCACATTATATCATATGGTCAATTTGATGATTCATGATGATAAATTTTTGATGATAATTACATGATGGCACATTTAATCAATTTGCTTGTGAGGATGATTACATGATACTCATATAATCCATATATACTTGTTCTTGATGATGATTACATGACATCTATGTAATTGATGTACTTGATGATGATAACATGATGCGTAATTGATGTCACACATAGTCATGATGATTTTACTTGATGATGACTTCATGCTGTATGATTCTAAGTCGCAAGGACGAGCCTTGAACTATGAGATTCGCCCATTTGGTACGACGAACTCACGCAGAAATAGGGGTGGTACTCGAAAATCTAAGTACCATGTACGTACACTAAGCCCGGTCCGTGATGTCGGACTGCTAAGTCCCGCACAATCACAACTACAAGAGACGCACTTCAGCCTGATCTCTTGCGCATGCACATGATGTGATATGTTTCAATATGAATGATGAAATGAATCACATGATATGAATAATTTGTAAACAACATGATTGGATAAATA